AAGAAAATCCTTCAAAGGGATAAACCAGCTGAAACCAAACAAGACTCGGCCAAACCAGAAATTAAGTTGAATGTGTTTAGATCCCATCCAACTATCCCAAAATCTAATCAAACCTTGTCCAACCCAACTTCTACCCCAGCTTCTACTCCAAAATCTACCCCAAAATCTACCCCAAAATCTACCCCAATCTCTACCCCAATTTTGACCAAAATTAACACCACCAAGCCTTCAGCACCAAAACCATTTGTACCAAAATCTATTAAGTTAGTCATTAAAGACCCACTCCCATCAGTGACATCAAAACTGGCACAAACTGGCTCTAAAGAGCCAACCCTGTCTGAATCAAGTGCAGAACCTGATAATGATAATGACGAAGAATATGATGAGGAGTATGAAAATGATGGAGAATACATCTATGATGCAAAAGACGAATATGAGGATTCAGAAGAATATGAGGAGGATGAAATGCTACTGGGTGATGAAATTCCAGTACATGAGAAAACAGAATTAACACCAACCAATGATGATTTGTCAACTCTGGAAGCTGATGCAACCAGAAACAAACAGACAAATCAAAATTCCAATGAATAAACATAATGATTATTAAAATCAATACTCAAAATATACAACGGAGTCGTATCAGCGACCAGTTGGTAATAAGTTTCACCCAAAAATCCAATGTGTCTTTGCTCCAAGAACTAAATCTATCAGAAGACTTTTCGTTTCAGTTCGATAACAAAGTCATATACTATAATTCAACCTGTTCCAGAACAGCAATAATTGTTGATGATTCTATTCCAGTGTTAGGATCCAAATTAGCAGGTATTACTGTCCAACATGAACTCCAAAAACACATCACGGATGTCTTAATTGAATTAGAAAATAACCAAGCACTCTGGATTATAAACTTGTATAATCCAAATCAATACCAAAAGCAAAATCAGATCCATGATCAGCTCAAACTCAGTTTACTTGCCCAACATCAGAATCTTCAAACTAGATTCCCAGGAAAGACAATCAACATCATGTTAGCTGGTGATTTTAATAATTTTATTGATCGTTCGGACTCCCTAAATTATAGAAGCCGTGAAGACTCAGTTGCTGAATCCTTAACTAATCTCATTACTTTGTTGAACTTGAAGGACTCATTCAATTCAATCAAACATAACATCAAGAAAACATTCACTAATAAAGCATCAGAATTAGGGAAAAGCCGGAGATTGGATAGGTTCTATATCACTGGGAGCTTCTTAAAAACAAAGAAAACAAATGGAATATGACACAAACAAATCATTTTGGGAAAAGATCCACACATGATTCAGTTACAGTGGAGTTGACTTTAACTTCATCCAAGGCTTACTATAATATGAAGAGATATAGATTGACCGACAGAATCATTAATGTTCTCAGGCACCAATCTATAAATGAAGATATCCAAGGAACCGATGAATTAATAATTGATATTAAATGCAAAGCAGAAAAACTCAAACACATGTTGAAAAAAGTGAAAGTGCCTGAACTTGATAAAGTGACGGAATATTATCAACATATTAACCAAGTTTTCCACCAATATCAAGAACAACGCCCAATAAAACAGCTAAAAGATGTAGAAGGGTCACTAGTTCAATCTCATGAAGAGATAATGAAAATAGCAACTGAATATTATATGGACTTGTTTGATGGAACCAGAGGAACAAAGGACACAAAAAAATACATAAATATCTTCAGGACGTGATTCCAACCCAAGGAATATCTCCTGAAGAGAAGAGAAAAATGGATTCCTCCATAACAATGGAAGAACTCAAACTGGCAATTGATTCGGCAAATTTGAAGTCCACACCGGGCATAGATGGAATCCCATACAAATTTTATAAGGAATTATTTCCCCAAATCAAACACATCCTTCTTCAAGAATTTAACCACATTCTAACTGAAGGAAATTTACCATTCCACTACCGAACTATACTCTTTAACATCATACCAAAGCCTGGAAAGTCAAAAGAAAACATTGGAAACTATAGGCCGATAGCCCTTATCAACACTAATCTTCGATTATTATCCACAATAATTAATAATAGGTTGTTGAAGCACTTGCCCGATATCATAGGGGAAGATCAAGCTGGTTTTATTCCAGGCCGGTCATCGTTCTCCAACATCACCATTTTCAGAGAAATGTTAGATAGTCTAATTCATCCAAAAGATAAAACGCATATAATACCAAATCCACAAAAGCTGATACTAATTGTGGATTTGGAGAAAGCGTTCGATAGGATATCTCACGAATATATGGAACAACTATTGTCCCATTTAAATTTTGGAAAAAAATTAGCCAAGTTAATCATCAACATCCTCAAGCAGACAACGGGATCCTTATACATCAACAACATGACCGGCCCATTATTCAATTTAAAAAATGGTACCCTCCAAGGTAATCCGTTTTCCCCTTCATTATTTGCATTAGCAGTAGAACCTTTACTACGATCTATCAAACAGAATACCAGAGGCCATAGTTACCAAGGAGATTTGATACCTGAAGCATATAGCAGTCAACATTATCTTGCTTTTGCTGATGATATCACAGTTTTCCTCAAAGATAAAAGAGATTATTCCAAAACAATGAAATGTATTAGACTATTTGAAAAATTCAGTGGCAGCAAACTCAATGAAAAGAAATCCCAACTAATCATACCAACTGATAATTATCCATTTTTGACACCATTCCCATTTGAGATTGCTGATGAAAACTTTCAATTGACATATTTGGGGATAACTATTGGACCATCAGTGACATTTTGGCCGGAAACATTGCAGCGTGACCTCCATATCAAATACAAGTTATCAAACATGACCAGCTTGCTGATTCAATCAAAAATAGAAGCATTCAACACATATATTGCATCCAAGTTCTATTACAAAGAACTACACCAACCTTTGTTACCCAATCAGTTGAATCAAATTGACACATCGATTAAGTTATTGGTCAAGCAAGATACACCTATTTCTTTGGATACACTCAAGACACACAACAACAAAGGCGGTTTCTCAATGATTGATTTAAAGTCTCAACTCCAACACCGAAGAGCCAAAATTTTCCAGGATTTGTTTTTGGATAGTCACACTAAATATAACCAGATATTACGTTTTAAAATCCAATCAAGTATCAATAACATCATTCAAAAAACATCACCAACAAAATCACCAAAGGATGAATATATCAAAACTCATTATTGGTGGGTGGTATTACTTGAACTAGCGGATGACATTGAGAATACCAATGATTCAATTTCCTTGGAAGTTATGAATAGCAGCACATTCTCAGATGCTGAAAGGACAGCGTACTGGGATTTCAGAAAAGTTCTTGGTATAAAGAAACGTACAATCAGGTTGAAGCCAATGAAGATTGGAATTGAAGATTTGAAAAATTCAATTGAAAAAGGGATTCCTGAAAAATATCAACAACACATTCCAATTAGAATTAAGGATTTTGACCATACTAAAGGAAGTAAAAAACAACGGGAAAAACAAGATGTGAACAAGATGTCAAAAACACTCATGGACATTAGTGGGGTGAATCAGAAACAAGTTGATAACTTTTGGCATAACCTCAAAAAATTCAACCAACATTTCCCGGGGAAATATCAAAATATTCACATCTTTCATTTGGGCATTGAAAATCACAATTACGTAAATAATCATTGTGACTATTGCAGCAAAAAATTAACCAGATATGATGAACCCCAATATGCCCCAAAGGAAATCCAATTTGAAATCATGAAGCACCATCTTATTGAATGTCCATTGGCCCAGAAACTTTGGAAAAAAATTGACTTGAATATCCCATTAACCTGGCAAACAATCATTACCCCTGCCACCAACATGAACGAAACCAGAATGATCGATAGATATCTAGGTTTCCAACGAAAATTATCAAGATTGAAATCCAAAAGGCATTTCAATTGTCATATGGCCGTTGATTCAATGATCTTCTTGCTTGAAAGCAATATCTTTTAAGCGGAGAAGAAAAAATAGGTGGGGAAAAACAAGAAAATAAAATCAAAAAAAAAAATAAAATCAAAAAAAAAACAACAATTAAAAACCTTAAAAACGCATAAAAACATTTTTTCTCAATAATAGGGTTTTTCACCATTAATGGTTTTCCCTTAACACTTTAATTTTCAAACTACATTAAGTAGTTTATGAGATATATAGTTATATAATTAATTAATATATTGAATTTTGTCTTTAAAAAAAAAAACGGTCCAAAAGGAAAAAAAAAAAAGCAATAAATAAAAACTGATTTTATCATGAGAACCACTAGAAATAGTAATAAAGCTACTCCAAACTACTCCACCGACCCTACTAATGATCCCCCAATCATTGAAACCCCGGTTTCTTTGGGCTCTTCATTGGATGTTGGCGCAACATCTGAAACCCCGATCCCGATAGCAAACATAAACAAACAAGCTAAAGATCAAGATTCCGATGAAGAAATTACTGATGCAGCCGACAATACTATTAATAGTACTGTTGAAACCTTTTTAACTGCTTCAGAAGATCCTGAAGCGGACCAAAACATGGATTCCAACGCCATTTCTACCCCAACTACCTCTCCAGCAATTAATGTTTCTTCAGTTGATTGCGATCGCAATTCTCATGCAGCATGTGACACTGACATTGACATGCACAATCCTGTTATTCCAACCCAAGCCGTTATTTCTACTGATTTTATTAATGAAAACTCCGAAAACCAAAAAAAAATCGAAAATTCTCAAAACCCAAAAAAAAATTCTGTTTCTGTTCCTTCTGTTTCTGTTCCTTCTGTTCCTGTTCCCTCTGTCTCACCTTCTACTGTCGCCTCTCCAACTACGGCCTCCAATCCGGTGGCTCCAGCTGTCAATGTGACAAGACCAATCCAAACCTATGCTCAAGCCACCGCTGGAGACAAGCGCACACCTCGAGCCACTACAAACACCAATGATCCATCCTTCCAAAACGTGTTGATGAAATTTGAAAGAACTTTCAAATGGGCAAGTCACATCAAAATCCTTGACTTTAAGCACCGCGACGTATTGGAATATGCCATAAGCGAGAAACGCAAATCAGGAAAATTGTTCTCCACCTCCAATCCTGCTATTATTAAATCCAAAGAAAAACGCGAGGAACTCGTCAAGATCATGGAAATTGAAGATTTCTTCCAAAACTACACCAGTTTTAATATGACAAACGAATTCAACAGATTAAGAAACTCTAGAATCAGCTTGGAGAACTACTTGGAATTTATCATGAGCCAACAGCATCTTAAGGATATCTTAATCTACTTTAAGATCCCAAAAGATATCTTTACAGAGTTTCCTCTTGAAAAACACTTGGAATCCATCAAAAACGGACTCACTAAGTTATCCAAAGAACTTGATACTATTACACAGTCATCCAACGAACCAGATAAGGATTTGATCATAATCAGGGAAAACTTAAAAGGGGCCCTCAACCACTTGGTTATTTTTAATAAGAAGATCTGCCTTAACTCAAACTTCATCCCAAACCCTCAGGATACAGGCTCTGATATCTTCAAGAAGGACAGAAATCTTTTAATTGAATATCTTAACATCCACCTTAAAGTTACAGTTGGAAATTATACCTACACGCCAGGGTCTTTGTTAAATACAATGAATAAGGAATCCCATTTAATTGAGATTGAAATGAATTCCGAATTTACTGAATTTAACCGGGAAAAACTTCTTGACCATGTCTTCAATGAATCCGGAATTGATCCATCATCCTTCTTTCCAATCAACACCGTTCACTTTACGGAAGAAGCTAGCAAAGCTGCCAGTATTGTCACTTATGGTTATATTGAAATTGACTCAGGAAAATCCCTTCCACTCTTCAATGACAAAAATTTCCGCTCCAGAGTCATCACGAAATGCGTCCACTGCACTGCATGTGGTTCCCGTGAACACACTCGTTTTGACTGCAAGACGTCATCTTGTGCCATTTGCAAGAAATTATCCCATAGGGCAAAAGATTGTTATTTCAAAAAGCAACAAAGAGCACCTATTGTGAATCCGGAAGATCCAGAAAAACACTCTCCGAAACAAAATTCTGGAAAAGCAGTCAAACCAAACCACAAATCAAACTATGGTTTTCAGACTGTCGAAAAAAGAAAAATAAAACTGAATAAACCGGCTACTCCAGAATATTCTAAACCACATTCAAACCCTTTCGACTTATTGGCAAATGAAGAAGAAAATGTTGATGATTCAATTATTGATGAGGACGATACTTTGGAAAAGAACTACCCATCCAATGAGGAAGATGCTTTAGAGGAAGGCCTCTCTACTGATGCAGACCAATCCATGGATGAACTCGAAACCTCTACAACCCAACACACTGCTACTCTCAGACATCAAACCAAACCAATAGAATTATTGTCCAAGAAAGGTAAATCTAAGAAGCACGCCAAGTTCGCGGCCATTAGCGCCATCAAGCTGGCCCATATTAGCAAGGTCTCCAAAAAGATCCTCGCCTCACCTTCATCCCACCCTCAGGTCCGTGTTTCTCGCAGACATCAAGAAGTAAACTCACAACATCATACTACTTCTTCTGCTGCCAACATTCCTCCTTCACCTACCCCTGCCCGTGATACTGTCACTTCCTCGGCTCTGGCCACTTCTTCTATCCCTGCTTCTGCCCCTGCTTCTGCCCCTGCTTCTGCCCCTGCTTCTGCCCCTGCTTCTACCCCTGATTCTGTCCCTGCTTCTGTCCCTACCTCTGTTCCTACCCCTATTACTACCTCACCTCATTCTACCTCACCTCATTCAGCTTCCCCCTTCTCAAAACATCCAACTATCCTGGAAAACTTAGACAAAATGCCCACGCCACTGGAATCATTTACTCCCCGGCCAATGAAGCTTCTGTCAAAAGAACAATCTTCCCCCCTGGAGGATAACAACAACGAAATAAATTCACCTCAATCAGATGGCTCAAATGTCACAAAAAACGCCTCTCATACACAAAATGAGTAAACTATCGATCATTAGTCAAAACATCCAAAGATTGAGATTGGATGACTCCAAAATTCTCCATCTATCAAACCAATATAACATTTCAATGTTTCAAGAACTTAATCTTGGCGAGGACTTCCTCTTCCAACACCAAAACAAAAAAATTTATAAAAATACTCCATCATCCCGCACAGCTATTATAATTGAGGACCACATAAAGGTCGTTGATCATTCATTGCTAACAATTGCAGTACTGAGCCAGCTCCAGGTTTATATCACAGATGCCATTATTGAACAAGATGCCAATAACTGGCTTTGGCTAATCAATATCTACAACCCATCTGCTGATTACCAAAAACAAATCCTCCTTCAAAATCAACTCTCCATCACCCTCCAAACCCAGCTTACCGCTCTCAGAGCGAGAAGCAACAATAAGACCATCAACATTATTCTCGGAGGTGACTTTAATAATTTTGTCAATTCAAGAGACTCTGCTAACTTCCGTTCTCGCGAACAAAGATCGTCCGAGTCGCTTAAAAAGCTAATCAAAACTTTCAAGCTAGCAGATATCTATGAACATCCAAAATTGCACCAGATTAAAAAGAATTGGACTAACCAATCCACCACGGAAGAAAGTAGTCGCAGAATAGATCGTTTTTATATCAGTCAGTCCATGATCTCCGACAAAAACAGATTTCATATTCAAATGTCCCAACAAAACTATCTAAAGTCTTCTTCAACTCACGATTCTATTATTCTTGAAATCAACACTCAACCTCATGCAATGACTTACATCCCCCAACATAATATTATTAAAAATCATATTATTCAATGGCTTCTGAAGATCAAGTTTCCACCCACTGTGAACTCTACTTCAGACCTCATTTCCGAGATTCGCTTGAAGCTGAATTTTTTGACGATGGTACACAAGAAAATAACAGAAAATACTGATGAACCAAATTATTATGACCACATAAGAACTAGGTTCCACCAACACTCCAGACCTCGCCCAATCAAAGCCCTCAAAGCTTCAGATGGCGCTTTATTGACATCACAGCAAGACATGCTTCTAGAAGTAACCAATTACTATCAAAAACTCTACGATGGATCTCGTGGTTCAAAGAGCTCGGAAAATATAGAAAGGTTCATCAACGCCTCCTTGGGAGATCAGATACCACTAACCAACACTGAATCCAACAACTTGAACAAACCAATCACCATGACAGAATTGGAATATGCAGTTACTGAATCCAATACTCAATCCGCCCCCGGGGTAGATGGTATACCATACGGCGTTTATAAGTCTCTCTTTCCTCAGATAAAACACATACTTCTAAAAGAATTTAACCAAATTCTTTCTTCAGGGGAAATTCCATTCAACTATCGAACCATAAAATTCACTCTCATACCAAAACCAAACAAAGATGTTCAAAAAGTGGAGAATTACAGGCCCATAGCATTAATCAACACAAATTTGAAACTCTTTTCCAGCATCATCAACGCCCGTTTGCTCCCGTTCTTGCAAAAAATTATCGGCCCAAATCAAGTTGGTTTCATACCTGAAAGATCCTCCTTCTCTAATATAACAATTTTCGGTGACTTGCTTTCCAGTTTAATATCCCCACAAGACAAGCCACATGTCAATCATTCTACTAACCACCGAATCATGCTTGCTGACTTTGAAAAGGCTTTTGACCAGATTTCCCATCTATACCTTAAAATATTACTTCGAAAACTCAATTTTGGAAAAATGACGGAAACTATTCACGCTATCCTTACCAAAGCCCTCGGAACCATTTGCCTAAATAACATTACAGGCCCTTCTTTCCCATTAAGAAACGGAACCCTTCAGGGCAACCCACTTTCACCAACAATTTTCGCGTTAGCCCTTGAACCTTTTCTAAGAGCCATCCAAAGATTAAATAAAGGATTCAGTTACAACCATAAGATCCAACCAAACATCATCCCCAGAGTCAAATACCTTGCCTATGCAGATGATGTTACCTTATTCTTGAGAGATCATAATGACTTCAAAAACACTATGAAGATAATTCAGGCGTTCGAACAAGTCAGTGGTTCTAAATTAAACAAAAGCAAATCCAGATTAATTGTTCCATGCGATCAAATACCATTCCAGTCCGACTTCCAAATAGATATTGCTGACAATAATTATGAAACCCAATATCTAGGCGTTAAAATTGGGAACTCGAGTCAAACCTGGCCTAATACTCTCCAAAAAGACATCAGCACCAAATATTACATGACCAACATGAGTTCACTACCAATATCAAGTCAAATAGTCGGATATAACACATATATCTTGTCTAAGCTATATTACCACGAGATTCATGCACCTATGCTTCCAGACCAAATAGATTTGCTAGAACAATCCATCAAAAACCAGGTGAACAAAAAACTGAAAATCTCCATGGACACTTTAAAAACAAGCCCATTGAAAGGAGGATATGGCATGGTGGATATCAAAAGCCAATTGAGCTACCGCAAGGCAAAAATCTTTCAACAACTCTTTCTCAAATCTTTAAACCCATATTGCCAGTTACTCCGATTCAAGCTCCAACTAGCAATAAACATGATCATCAAACAAAATCTATCCGAGGAAGAGCAGTCGATACAAGGATATATAAAAACCCAATACTGGTGGCGGTTAATATTGGGTGACCAGATCAATATCAAGAATAAGAGAGAAAGCAGGTCCATACTCAACCAGGTTATAAATCTTCCAATGTTTACCACAGCGGAAAAATGTGCTTTTGTAGCTTGGTATAAATTATTGTCCAAACCAATATCTCAACAACAAACATTGAGCCCAATGAATATCAAACACTCAGACCTTGCCAAGTCCATTCAAGACGGTATACCAACTATCTATCAAATGGAGATCCCAAAACTGGTCATGGAGTTTGAACACAAACAGGGAAGCAAGAAAAAAAGAGCCAGAATTGATAAACATAAATTATCCACCACTTTAACCAATATCCAAGAAGTCACCCAAACGAAACAAAACTCTTTCTGGAAGAGACTCCACAAATACCAACATAATAGCCCTGGTTACTTTGAAAACATACACATATTCCACTTAGGTGCTGAACAATTTTTTTACCAACATAGAAAATGTCACTATTGCGGGCTCGAAACCGTCTCTCAAGACCAACAACATGAATCACCAGAACTCCAAGTCAAGATCAAAATGACCCATTTCCTAATTCAATGCCCATTATCAACCGAGTTATGGTCAAGATTGAAAATCCCAATTCCATTAGCATGGAATAACTTAATCGCTCCCAATCATTCAGAATCAACAATCAAAAAGATCGACCGCTACCTATGCTATCAACGCAAACTCTCACGCCTAAGATATCATAACCAAATTGATTGGAACACATCAATTAACAACTTGATTTATATCATTACTACTGGGAGCTGAATAGTCGATCAAAACAAAAAAGAAAAAAAAAATTAACAAAAACAATAACAAAAAAAACATTTTATTTAAATACTAATAATTATCACTAAAGGGTTTTTCACCATAGGATATGGTTTTCCCTAACATATATAATGAGCATTAGCTTATAAGATTTTACATAGATATATATAATTATATATTTATTAATAAATCGAACTTTGAAGGAAAAAAAAAAAAAGGTATGGAATTGCGAGCAGCAATATCAGTATCACAATGAACAATCATCCCATTCAACCTCAATCCACTATCAAAGTTCTTGGTGTTACCTTTGATGACCGCCTCAACTTCAAAACCCATATCATGAACAAAACAAAGTCATTCAGCAAAGCGGCTGGTATTCTCCATCACATTGCCAAAAAATTCCCTATCGAATCCCAAAAGATTTTATATCTACAGACCGTCCGGCCTGCGATCGAATACGCCTCGGAAATCTGGTCCCCCAAAATATCGCCAACATTGATCGATGGTATCCAACGTGTTCAAAATAAGTTCATCAAACGAACCCTTGGTGTATCCTCCAGGACCTCAACCACTGCAATTCATAAAGAACTTGGTATGTTACCAATCCAAAACAGATTGGATCTAAAGGGTTCTTGGTACACCGATAGAATAAACCACAAATTGCCGCTCACTAACCCAATTCTCAAGCTTATTATGGCAGGGAAGAATGATTATAGGGAAACCACATTAGCAGACATTACCAAGAACCATAAGATTCGAATTCAGAAGAGAAAATTGGCTAAAAAGGAAACCTGGAGTAACAAATACTATTTGATCAAGAGAAAACAGGAAATCAAATACCACGAGAGCAAGAAAATATCGGAGCAGAGAATGGTACATCACCTCAATGACACTTTATTCAATCACCTCCATAGTATATCTGGACAAAGATCGGAGCAGCTTCAATTCTACCTTGAAAAAACATCAGCTTTTCAGTTTGAACTTAAGAACAGCAAAATAGCAATGCATTCCATCTGGGAATCAATGGGT